ATTATTATTATTACTATTATTATTATTATTATTATTATTATTATTATTATTATTATTATTATTATTATTATTATTATTATTATTATTATTATTATTATTATTATTATTATTATTATTACTATTCATGTAATTTGATTTGTTGTTGGAAATTTCGAAATTATTGTAAAATGAAAATGAATACGGAAAGATTCAAAAGCCTGCCAAACTGCAAGTATTACAAATCAATTTCATATTTTCAGAGTTTCAATAAAATATGTAAATTTCAGTACTATTGCAAAATCAGTGCTACTGCAATTTGCTTCATAGCTTGTGTAGCAATTCAAATTTAGCTAAGATTTGAAACTTTCGTAGTTTTTAAAAATTAATAATAAATAAAGTTTAGGAAAAAATGGTGTAAATAAAGTGATTATTGCTTGGCTCAACTAGCAAAGTTTAGCATTTTTTTTGCGAAGTCAAAAAAAAGAAGTAAAATGCAGTACTTTTTGCTTTTCTACCTCTTTCATTATTGCGCAAATCGCAAAGCTAAAAGTTGTACTATTTATCAGTTTTTTGAAAATCTTTGGAAATCAGAAACCGAATTACAGTAGTCTTTTTTGGTTTTTTTGTCGAAATTTACTTTTTACTGATAATAAAATATTCAGAAGATTATCAGCAAAGATAAAAGCAAACGATGCTATCATGTTCAAGAGAGAGTAATGCTTATTCTATCATAGATTATCACTTAATTCTTCAATATTACCAAAGACTTAATCAATTTGAACTTGCATTAAATGAATTTTAGTTAATTAACGGAGTTAATTAATGGGGCTAAGTAAAAAGATGAAAATTATATTTATTGCAGTGAAAATGCAAGAAATATTTACTGTAAGGAACAATGACAACTTTAAATAAAGGAACTAAAAAAAAAAGAATAAAATGAAAATGTAAGAGTCGTTATATTTATTTAGGTAGACTAGGTAAGCGATATAAGGTAATGAGAAGTTAAAGTAAACAAAATATTGGTGGGTGTTGATGGGCAAGAGTTCCGTATTTCCTGAGATGCAGAATATATCCGGGAAATGCAACAGGTGGTAAATAAAGAGTGCTTATTTTTTTACTCAAGATGAGAAGAAGACAAAAAGATTAGGAATTTTGTGCTGAAATATGGAAAATAAGTAGGAATAAAGTTATTACTTAACTGTTTGCCTTCCGGAAGTTTACCCAAATGTAAAGATAATTTCGGAAAGTATAAACATCAATATTAAAATTATTTGAAAACAAACAGGATAAATAATAGATTTGCATAAAAAGAATCTGATAATTGAAGAATAGTAAAGTATCAAGAATGCTTTATTTATAGAGGATGATTTGATAGGAAAGAAAAAAAAACTTGAATCCGGAAACTTACTTGAAAATTGTCAAAATTCCGTTGAACAGGTACCCCTCTACCTTTATCAAAATTCAGTTAATCGTGAATAATTCACAGATTTTTACTTGTTTCTTTCTTCCTACTCCAAATAGCTATTGGAGGACTTTCTCGGGATATACGGAATTATTCCAGAGGGGCACTGTACTTCCTTCAGAAGTCGGTCAAGTCAGTATGGAGAGATAAATGTACACTGAGATGGATGTTAGCTTCGAAATCCTCTGTATCAACATTTTCCTCTATGCATCTGCTAGTTCTCTTCTCAACTCATCCAACCCATACATGTATCATTTCTTTCGTTGCCTTTTCCTCCTTCCCCAATATTTTTTTTCACACTTCATCTCTCAGTTTCATAAAATTTTGCAAAATTTTCTGTGAATATTGTAATGTTTAGCATTGGGAGGATAATGAGAGAGAGAGAGAGAGAGAGAGAGAGAGAGAGAGAGAGAGAGAGAGAGAGAGTAGTAGTTACGGTAACTATATACTATACT